ATGATGGTTGTGTCCCGATGATGTTGATGACCGTGATGATGATGTTGGTGTTGATGATGAGGACGGTGTCCCGATTATGATGATGTTGGTGATGATGATGTTGAAGTTGATGTTGTTGTTGATGATGATGACGTTGATTGTGAGAGCGGTTGTGATATCGATAGTGAAATCGATAGTGAGACCGAATGTGATATCGATTGTGAGATCGATTGTGAGATCGATTGTGAGATCGATAGTCAAATCAATTGTGAGTTAGATCGAGTGAGATCGATTGTGAGATCGATCGAGGGAGATCGATCGAGCGAGACCGATACTGAAATCGATAGTGAGATCGATAGTGAGACCGATCGAGTGAGACGTTGGTTCCTCCCCCCCCGAAACTCCTTAGCACCCGAAGGGTGGTCGTATAGGTATATATATATATATATATATATGTCGTAGATCCCCCGCGGCGGATCGAGGCCATTTGCGAGTAGCCACTTTGCGAGTGGTGGAACGCGCTCGTCGACCCGCAGGAGGCCTACGCCGCGGCGGAGGCCGCCCTGGAGCAGCGCCTGGAGCACGGGAAGATGTGCTGCGAGGAGCGCCGGCCGGCACGGCGCACGGCGCCCCGCCGGGGGGGGGGCGGGGGGGCGCGCAGCGGAGCGCGGCGCGCGGGGCCCCGCGGCCGCTGCGGAGAGCGGTCTGCGGCGGAGGGCAGCGAGAGCACGGGCGGCGGACACGTCTTTGCAGCCTCGGAGAGATCCCCGGTCCAGGGAGTAGCGTTGTAAGGTGGGTCTGAGGCAAATGGTTGAGCCTATTGTGAAGGCCTTCCGGCCGATGCTGCCGACCCTGTAGGCAGCGACGACGAAGACAACGGAGGTAGATGGGTCCAAGATGCCCTCAGATGGCTCGAAGACGGCGCCAGATGCCTGCAAGGTCGTCCGAAAACAGCTCAAGAGGCCTCCTCCAGGGTTCGGGCACAGGTCCAGAGAGTGCCAAGATAGGCAGATAGCGCCCTCAAGTGGCCCGAGAGGGTTCCAAGACGGCGTCAAGCGAGGTCCAAAAGCGCCCGCAGAGGCCGTCAAGAGTGCCGCCAGAGGCTGCCAGGAGAGTCTAGAAATGGCGAAAGGTCTCCAAGGAGCCTTGAGATAGGCTGAAAGGGCCCGCAGACGGCCCCGGAGGGCCAACGGAGCCCCAGGACGCAGGAGGATGAGGGGCGGGGGGCTGCGTATCCGAGGGGGGACCCACCCCCGGGAGTCGCCCCAGGAACCCCCCCCCCGGGACCCCCACCCCCGGCGGGGAAGGGATCAAGGGAAGGGGCTTACTTTCGATTGACGGACGACGTTGTGCAATTTGTGTGTGTGGACTTGTGTAGGGGGTCTTCGGAAAGCAGAAGAGGCGACGACGCTGTGGGGAAGACGGAAAAGCTCCTCCCACACGCCGACAGGGTCGGGGGATTTTTCTTTTTCCCCCCTCCTCCCCCTCCTTGCCTCTGCTCCCGCATGTCCACCATTTCGGCACACCCCTCACACGTTTCGTGGCCCCATCGGGAGCTCCACCGAAGGCCCCAGCGGCAGGGTCCACATGGCGTACCCGCGCCCTGTTCGGTTCACCCGTCACACGTTTCGTAGCCACAGGGAGCTCCACAGAGGACCCCAACGGCAGGGTCCACATGGCGAACCAGCGCCAGATTCACCACACCCCTCATGCGTTTCGTGGCCCCATAGGGAGCTCCACCGAAGGGCCCAACGACAGGGTCCACATGGCGTACCAGCACCCGATTCAGCACACCCTTCTCACGTTTCGTGGCCCCATCGGGAGCTCCACCGAAGGCCCAGTCGGCAGGGTCCACATTGGCGTAGTTACCCGCACTCGATTCGGCCCACCCCTCACACGTTTCGTAGCCACAGGGAGCTCCACCGAGGGCCCCAACGGCAGGGTCCACATGGCGTATTTACCCGCGCCAGATTCGGCACACCCCTCACACGTTTCGTGGCCCCAAAGGGAGCTCCACCAAAGGCTCCAGCGGCAGGGTCCGCATGGCGCACCCGCGCCCGATGCGACACACCCTTCACCCGTTTCGTACCCCCACACGGAGTTCCGCCGAAGGCCCCAACGTCAGGGTCCGCATGACGTGCCCGCACCCGACGCGGCACACCCTCACACGCTTCGTGGCCCCATAGCGAACTCCACCGACGGTGTTACCGCCCGCGTGCGCCCCCCCCACCCACCCAGTGCAGCACAGCGTTTCGTGGCCCCATACGGAGCTCCACGGGCGGCCCCAGTGCTACCGCCCGCATGCGTTTCCCCCACACATTGCAGCGCTTCGTGACCCCATAGGGAGCTCCACCGAAGAAGATATTCACAACCGCGGTACTCAGAACTGCGAAGGTCGTTTTTCCCCACCATCCCGAATTTTGTTGGGCCTTCGTTTTGAAGAGACAGCGCCCCGCGTCCCTCCCACCTTTTCCTTCTTCTTCTCCTCCTCCTCGTCTTCCTCTCTCTTGCCATCCCAGAAACTCATCGACATCGCCATTATTATCATCATCATCATCATCATCATCATCATCATCAGCATCACCGTTACCTTTTCTCATACTCATCCTCATCATCATCATCACCAGCATAATCATCACCATCAGCATCATCATCATCATCAGCATCATCATCATCATCATCTCAACATCATCATCAGCATCATCATCACCAGCCTTATCATCATCATCATCATCATCATCATCATCATCATCATCATCATCATCATCATCATCATCATCATAACCATCAGCATCATCATCGCCAGCAGCATCATCATCATCATCAGCATCATCATGTTCATCCTCGTCAGTGGGCCGCCACGCCAATGTCGGTACACCCATCACACGGCTCGTGGCATGAAGCTCCACCGACAGCGCCAGCGGCAGGGTCCGCATTGCGCATCCGCACCCGATTCGGCACACCCTTTCACACGTTTCATGGACACATTCGGAGCTTTACCGAAGGCCCCAGCGGCAGGGTCCTCATGGCGTACCCGCGCCAGATTCGGTACACCCCGCACACGGTTCGTGGCCCCATAGGGCGCTCCACCGAAGGCCCCAGCGGCAGGGTCCGCATGGCGTACCTGCGCCCGATTTGGCAAACCCCTCACACGGTTCGTGGCTCCATAAGGAGCTCCACCGAAGGCCCCAGCGGCAGGGTCCTCATGGCGTACCTGCACTCGCTATGGGACACCATTCGCACGCTTCGTGGCCCCAGTGGAAGCTTCACCGAAGACCCCAGCGGCAGGGTTCGCATGCGTACCCACGCCCGATTTGGGACACCATTTACACGGTTCGTGGCCCATCTGGTGCTCCACCGAAGGCCCCAGCGGCAGGGTCCGCATGGCGTACCCGCACCCGACTCGGCACACACCCCTCACACGGTTTGTGACCCCAGAGGGAGGTTCACCGAAGGCCCCATCGGCACGGTCCACATGGTGTACCCGCACCCGATTCGACACACCCCTCACACGTTTCGTGGCGCCAGGCGGGCAGTAGCGCATCGCACCAAGGAAACAAGGGGGACGAAAGAGTTGGGAAGGCAATGGGCTCGACAAACGAGACCCGGACCAAACAAAACATCCTCCCGCGAGCCCGTGCCCGCTGTTCCTTTCTTATCGGCGCCGCAGTCTTGGTGCTGGCCTCCCTCCTCCTTGGCATGTGCCTTGCGTTGCTCGCACCTGCATGTGGTTTGTTCCTTCGCCTGGCTAATTTCTAATTCATGTTGCTCCCAACCATCCTGTGGTATGGGGTCTTCGTTTTGAAGAGAGACGGCACCCCGCGTTCCTCCCTCTCTCACTTCTCCTCCTCCTCGTCCTCCTCCTCCTCCTCATCCTCCTCCTCCTGCCTCCTCTTTCCTCTTCCCCCTCATTTCTGCTCTCCGCATCAGAAGACAAGTTCGGTACACCCCGCGCACGTTTCGTGGCCCCGTACGGAGCTCCGCCGAAGGCCTCAGTGGCAGGTCAACATGTGGATCCCCCACCCAGTACAGAGCTTCGTGGTCCCATAGGCACCCACATGACGCTCCACCGAAGGCCCCAGTGGCACGGTCCACATACGGATGCCCCACCCAGCGCAGCGTTTCGTGAGCACCACCGAAGGTCCAAGTGGCGCAGCCCGCTTTCTTTACCCCGCCAAACGCAGCGATTCATGGCCCATAGGTTCCATCGAAGGTCCCGGTTGCGCAGCCCAAAAATGTGGAATTCCAACCAGTACAGCCCTTCGTGGATCCATAGGGGGCTCCACCGAAGGTCCGAGTGGCGCAACCCGCATGCGAATCCCCCACCCAGTACAGCGTTTCGTGACCCAGATGCGCATTGTTACTCAGATGAATTACTCTGCCCCCCCTCTTGGGTCGTTTTGGGGCCCATATCTTGATCACCCCTTGGGCCGTCTCGGAGCGTCAGGAAACCGAGAAGACGAGAACGCCGAAATCCTTCGACGACCTAAGGAAAATATCAATGAATGTTGCATCTTGGGGCCTTCCTGGAGGCCTCGTGTACCGTCTTAGGGGCCTCTTGGGGCCTCTTTGGGCCCGAAAAAATTGTAGGGGCCTTTTAGGCCCTGTTGGCCCGTCTGGGGGCCCTCTTGTGCCCGAACAAAATCACGCGACAAGATGCGGGAAGCACCCGAAACGACGCGAGAAGCCCCAGTAGATTTGAGTATTGGGGTTCTGGGCTCTTAAGAGACCCTTCAGGAGTGAGGATTGAGGCTTAGGGGATTAGGGATTTGACCTGAGGGAACGCCCACTCGGTGCCGCATGGCACAGTTGCGGATTATAGCAGCCAGACTGTACTTGGGAGTTTCCCCCACGATGTCTCACAGTAAGGTCGCCATTTGCATCCTATTCCTTGAGCGGCCCCATCCTGACGCCTTGAGGTCCGATACTCTAAACTAGGACAGCAGATACAAATCGTGCTTCGAGGATACGAGGGGCAAAAACTCATAAGCATCAGCTAGCACGTGCACGCATTCCGAAAACGCGCATTTCCAACACCTTGTCCTGCTGGTGTCCTGCTGGTCTGTCCCTATATCTTCACCGGCGCCTTATACGGTAGCCCCGCGTGGGATGTCTGCAGCATGCATTTCTGCGCCGGAACTCCCCAGGATTTTTCTGGTATTGGAACCAGGAGTTCGGGGGTCCAAAATCACGCGTTGCGTTTTCCCAAGCCATTTGTGCTCTTTTTTGGGGCTGAGTGAGAGAGTGTTGGTCGCGACGTGCCATGTCACTGATATCGCCACACCAGGTGACCGGGAAGTGGAAGCATAGCTCTGCAGGCGAGATAGAGATCCAGTTGGACGGAACGGGTAAGAATTTGACAATAAACCACCCCACGTTGGGGAAGCAGACGATGGATTTGGTAAAGTTCTGCCAGGGTGATGGCCTTGATTACTTCGGGTTCACGGGCAAGTTGGAGGGCGACGGGACCACGATCAAGTGGAACAACGGCGTCACGTGGACCAAGATTACAGGGTAGCAGGCTTCCTCCCACCACGGATGCACGTCATGGCCGCCAGGGCCCACATCGCCTCTTGAGGTGTGGCAAAGTGAGCTGCTGTTGCTGCCGCAGACGTTGTGAGCATCAGGCCTTTAGCAGTGGTGCTTCTGCCATCGTTTTTCTGCACCACACGGCGCGACTTTTGGAGTTTAGTTCGCAGCCTGATACAATTCCATCAAGTCAACTACCCCTCTCGAGGTGCCTGGACCCATTCCAGCGGGCGCCGGCGATGAAACAAGAAGAAAGCATCACACATTGTGTTTCGCGTATGGTTTTCACATTGCTTTGTTCGGAGTGTTGTTTGGCAGAGCTGCTATAAGATGACGATCCATGCGGGACGACAATATATTAACCCCTACGTGTCCCGATTCATTTCTACAGACGTCAGCGCGTGGCGATTGTTATCATTGTGCTGGTCCCAGAAGCAGCACCAGTATCAATAGCACTAGCGGCTCAAGCCGACGTTGATTCGCTGATTGTCGATATTGCACAAACCCCTCTGGCAGCCTGCGTGCTGTAGCAAACTCAGTGCAGACCCAGGCCTCTCACGTGGGATCCGAGAAGATGGAACGGGAGGATCGCGCCGCATCGCCGATGCGACGGCGATACGGCTCGATGAGGAGCCCAATTCTCCCCTCGCAAGAGGGCCGGTGCATCGCCGACGTCGCGGGTGCATCGCCGATGCATCGGCGATGCGGCGCGATGCTCGGACCCCGCCTGTTCGGACCCCATCTGGGAGGCTTCCAACATGTCAACCTTGAGAATCATGGCCAAGTTGTCCTGTGTGCTGGCTTGCCTCGTATTCACGCGGGCCGTCGCGGGCCAGCAGGCCTACGGGTCAACGTCTCGCGGGAAGGCCGGGAAGCGGGCATCTTGTGATTGCATGAACTGGGCGGGGGTCTATTACGACATGCTCGCCGGGTGTGGCCGCGCCCAGGAACTTTATTTCCTCAGCAAGTTCGGTTTCTCGGCTGCCTACGCCGCCACCGAGCCGATCGCAGGCTTGCCGCACAAAATCTGCAACGACTTCCTCAAGAATTTCAAGAACGACTCCTGCATCAACGTGGACCTGCTCCCCTTTCCTGCGGATGCGATGACCGACAAGCAGTGGTGTTACGTGTCCAACGATTGCGACACCCTGAACGGCGGAGATTACGCCACCAACACGATGGGCTTCCAGCTGGGCGGGTGGAACAACCTCGCCAGCACGAGCAACCTGTCATGGAAGATCTGCGATCCAGTCGCGGACGCGAGCAAGATGCTGAAGTACAAGACGCCCGGGGAGTTGCTGGAAATGTGCCTGAAGGACGACATCAGCTGTTCTCGCATCTTCAGGCTGGCCTACCCCGTCGTGGAGATAACGTGGGGCGAGGCCCAATATTTGATGGAGGGCATCGACGGGGCTTGGACGCCTGGCGCAGACCTGACCACTCTGATCGCCGGGCTACCAGCTCCGAGCGCCCCCTTCACCAGGCTCGTGGAGGTGCACGCGAACATCAGTGACATTGTGGTTTCCGAGCAGGCCACGATCCTCGACTCGCCAGGGCATGGTGACAACTTCCATGTGATCAAGGGCCGCGAGGTGTGGAAAGTGCAGCGGCTGGGCTACGACACTTGGAACGTGATCAGCGGCCGCCCGTACGAGTTGGGTGACATGGCCTACCTCGGCGGCCACTTCTCCCTGGAGTTCACCGTGACCTGCGTCCTGGGCTGTGCCCCGGGACGCCTGGAGATGGTCGACCGCCCTGTCCTCGACCTGGAGACGATGTGAGCGGGCGCTGGACAGCATAGGCGGAAGGGGACTGATTGCTCGCACCTGGCATCGCGAGACTCTCGGTCAAGGGCACGACAGTCCCTTTTTGTGGCCGTTGCTTCTGCTTATTCACTTCCTTTTCCTCATCATCAAGATGATTATCTCCCTCCCCTCCTTATCCTCGTCCTCCCTCTGGTGGTTCCGTTTGCTTGGTTCTAGCCCGTCTCACATTTGGGTGTTTGTTGCGCCGTCTTGCCCGCCACAGCGGCGGGTGTCGGCGCTGCACCAGGCAAGAATTGCAAGCGGCAGGCGCACGTGTTGATGATGCGACTGGCTTCCTGAGCGCCATCCGGGGTGGAATACCAGTGCAAGCAGCATTGGCGTTGGTAGCAGCAGCTGCAGCATCACCGGCAGCCGCAACAGGAGCCGAAGCAGCATTACCCGTGGCAAAAGCATTAGTTTCCGCCAAAGCCGCATCATCAACAGCAACCGCTTCAGCAGTTGTGACAAAGGAGAAGGAGGAGGATCAGTAGTTGGCCGGAGATGTCTGCCCGGTCTGCTCAACATTGTCATTCGTGTCGTCCCGTCCGCTCTGTCTGCACGATCACCGTTATCCCAGGCCACACTAGCCATCCGAAATTTTGGTGTCGATGGCCCTCTGTATTTTCGCAGGCGTTCTTACAGGCTCCACTGCACCATCCTTGCGACCAAGATTTATATATATATATCCATGTATATATATACATGGATATATATCCATGTCCAGTGCGTCTTGGACTTTTCCGGAAGGGGCGCCACGAGGCCATGGCGCACTGGGTATGGATAGACGCCCAGCCTCGGGGCCGAATCTCTATCCGTGTCCAGTGCGCCTCGGGCGTCTGGGGAACGGAGCCCGCAACTCCGCGCTGCAGAGGATATTGACACAAGCCTTGCCCGCAGTCCTCACCCTCCAGCACGCCTTCCTCTTCCTCCAGCTTCCCCCGACCGCCTCCACCGACGCCTTTGGGGGGCCCAAAAATATACACCACCATCGCCTCCCTCCCCACCTCCCTCTCGCTGGCGCTGGAGAGGGGAGAGAGGAGGAACCGACGTGGTGGTGGTGTATATATTCTTTGGGCCCCCAGCCTTGGCACCTTGTGGCTCTGCGCCTCCGCGCGAAGGCGCGAAGGCGGACACCTCTCGCGCAGTGCGTGGCACATCCTGGGGCGATCGAGCGGCAGTGCTGGACGCTCCCCTCGCGCGAGAGCGTGGCGTCTGCGCGAGTATCTCTTCGAGCATCCGAGTGCGCTCACGACGGATGTGCCATCCAATGCAGTCGACCCGCATTGTAAGGATGGACAGCCTCCCCAAGGGTATCCTTGCATTCTTGCCCTTGCTGATACGGGCTGGCTGTATGAGACCACAGCCTGCGCGCACGGCGGCGAGAGTTCTCAATCGGGTGATCGATGCTTCTTGCGTGGCTGGTGGGACGGATCTCGGGCCACGGCCTCGGCCTCTCAGGACAGGTTGGCGTGGGGTGCTGCAGACGGGCGTTTGCGCCGAGCAGCTGGAGGATGCGCGGAAATGTCCGAAGGCTGACGTGACACACCGCATAGTGTGCAGTTGTGTATACCTATACCCTTAAGTCGGGCATGTCCCTCTACAGGGGGGAATATTCCAAAATGGTCCACATTCGTCAGGGTACGATGTGTTTTTTCTTCTTTTTTTTTTACAAAAAAACTAATTTCGGCTACTTTAAGATTTATTTTGACTATCTTTCGCTGTTCATCCAAAATCCGCCTGGAGGAGCACATGCCTAACCTAAAGTGAGCATCGAGCAGCTGGAGGGTGCGCTGGACTTGTCGCAATCGGACGCAACAGACCGCACAGCGGGCAGCTGCGCATGCTCGGGCAAGGGTCGGCGTTTCCGCCGGCACCGGTTCCCGCACACCTGCGGGGGGGGCTCATGATGATTGGTTCCTTTTGGCAGGGGAGTCCTGGATCGAGTGCGCACGCGGACTTCAGTTCTTCCAAGTGCGCACGCCGTTGACTTCCTTGCAGGGTGAAGGTGGGCGTCCAGCGCGTGGCCACCTTTCCCCTGAAGAGCGCGCACTCCTCCGAAATATCCATTATGCTGGGCAGGGCCTCGGTTGGGTAATTGCCGGGGCGTCCTGTAACCTGAGGTAAATTAAGGACGGGCTGACGCCGATCTGAACAGTCATGCTCTATGGGAAATACCACTGAGGGCCAGCGTCGACCGAGTCTGCACCTTTGCTGACGCTGCTGGCTACTGTTGATCGTTCCAAGCGCGGACTCCCGCTCAAGAACAGGTGCGCGCGCTTTGCGAGAGCATCTGGCCATTCCAAATGGTGCACGCTTGGATCCACAAGGATCACCCCCGTCGTAGGTGAGATCCCCTCTCTCGGAGTATGGCAGCCTCCGAAGGCAACAGACTCGTCCGCGTCAGACTCACAGTTCGTTTCAGAGAGCCCCTTCCATTCGAAGTTCTGATCGGAACGTGCAACATCAGAATTCTTAGCGCTTCGCGGATCCCCACCAGAGAGGTTTTTGCACGTTGGCAGTTCCACTCTGTTTCAGTTCCTCCTGCCCCCTTGCCGCTGGGCCGCTGCGTGAGGCCTCGGCTTGCCGCGTTAGCTGTAGCCTTGCGCGCCGCCTCTGCCTAGGTTGTCTCTGCGTAGCCCGCTTTGACCTGACTCGCCGCTGGCGCGCTCGCCCGTGGCTGCTGACTAAAAAGTATCCCCACCAGATGGTCGCGCCGCCGCGCCATTTTGGCTGCGCTTACTTGGTGGTCGCCACGGGGATTACCAACGCCACCGGGTTTGGGAGTATCGGTTCTGGCTCACCTTCTGAGTGGCTGCCCGCTCGCTCGTTTCGTTTGCCTTTCTTTTCCTGCTGCCTAGTCGCGGCCCGACTAGTGTTCGGACGGCTTTCGGCCCACCTCGCGAGCCTGTTGGCCAAAAAGTATCCCCACCAGCGTCCGTAGACCCCCTGGTTCAAGCCGTTTCGGCTCGAGCACGGCCCTGGTCCAGGTACGCGCCGCGCCCGGCCTGCCGCGTTGGCCTCGGCCCGCTCCCGGCTGCTGCTGTTGCTGCCGCCGCCGCCGCTTCCCCCCTGGAGGCTGGCGTGCGCGCGGCGGCGGGCGGACCTGGCTGCCGCGGGCTGGGCCCGCCCCCAGCTGCTGTTGCTGCTGCTGCCGCCGCCGCCGCTGCCGCCTCCCCCCCGGAGGCTGGCGTGCGCGCGGCGGCGGGCGGCGGTGGCGCCGCGTGCCTGGGCGCCGCCGCCCGCGGCGGGCCGCCTGGCCTGGGCCCGCCCCTGGCTGCTGCTGCTGCTGCCGCCGCCGCCGCCGCCGCCGCCACCTCCCCCCTCCGCTGTAGGCTGGCTTGCGCGCGGCGGCGGGCGACGGTGACTCCGCGGACCTGGCTGCCGTTGCCCGCGGCGGGCCGCCTGGCCTGGGTCCGCCCCTGGCTGCTGCTGCTGCCGCCGCCTCCCCCACGGAGGCTGGCGTGCGCGCGGCGGCGGGCGTCGGCGGCGCCGCGTGCCTGGCTGCCGCCTCCCGCGGCGGGCCGCCTGGCTTGGGGCTGCCCCCGGCTTCTGCAGCTGCCGCCGCCGCCGCCGCCGCCGCCTCCCCCCTCAGAGGGCGGCGCGCGCGCGGCGGCAGCTAGTGCGTGCGGCGCCGGCGCATGACGACCAGCTCGAGCGCGGCCAGCAGCGCAACCGTTTCTTCCACCACCTGGACTTCCAGTGCTTCGTTGCCCGGCAGTATTCAGACGAATACTGCCACGACCAGTACGGTCTCGTGCTGTGCGACTTCAACGGCCACCTCCACGGTGGGCTCCACGACTTCAGTGTATTGCTGTGCGAGTGTGGTCGAGACGTGCTGCCGCGTCGGGCCTTTCGGTTCGACTTCGCGTCGTGGGACACTCTCGCCGCCACGGCCAGATCCTCGTCGAAATTATGGTCAAACTTCTAGACCATGGTCACTTCAACATTCCCGCGGCTGTCCGCCGCACCCCAGAAGGCGTCCCAAAGGAACCCGGACAAGTGGAGCTGCAGACTGTTCAAGTGGAATCCGTGGTTCCGATGCCAACCCAAACGACGAGTCGGACGGCCTCATCTACGTTGGCAAGATTCCCTTGGTGAGCAGGAGCAGTAGGTAGTGAGGCCTCTGTCCTTTCTCTCTCTCTCTCTCTCTCTTCCGTCTCCTCCTCCTCTTCCTCCTCCTCCTCCTCCTCCTCCTCCTCCTCCTCTTCCGTTCTCCCTGTTTAGTCTGATCAGTTGCCGCGTGTATCTTCTGTCCATTCGCGCAGTCTTCCACGCATGCTGTACACTTCTGTCCTGCCTGCCCCTCAGGGGACCGCTCCGCTGGAGCTGGCGCGCAGGCTGAACTGAACTGAACTGAGCCAGCTGGGTCTAGATCGGTTCGAGCCCTCTCCACCGACGTCCTCGCCCAGACAGGCGACACCATTTCCTACCATCCCGCGGCTGTTCGCCACACCCCAACCGAGCATCGGCAGGTCCAGCAGGCGGCAGACCGCCGTGAGGAGTTGGGGCCCCCTCCAGGTTTCCCCCCGGGCCTCAGGAGGCCCCCTCCCTCTGCTCAGCCCCCCTGCACGACGGGCCCAACTGGAGCTCCTGAGCCCCCCCCCCCCCCTGCAGGCCCCTGACCTACGTGGGCGGACCCCGAGTGGGAATCCGATCGAGCAGACAGAGGCGCTCTCAACCATCCAGCGGCTGTTAGCCGCCCCCCAGCCGGATCGTCTTCTTATTACCCTCGCGGCTGTTAGCCGCCCCCCTCTCAACGTGGCTGACTTTACCGCGTCCACCAGGGGCGCGCTCACGCATGCATGATTATTATACTCGCGGCTGTTAGCCGCTCCCTTTTCGGTGTACCTGACTGTTTCGACGACGCGCCGACGCTCCCCCCTGGGGCGTCGAGGCAAGCTGACTCTGGGCAACCGGTTCGGCTGTGCTGCTTTGCGGTTGTTTGCTGCGACCCCACCCTATTTGTGCACCCCCTCCCCGCGGCTGTTCGTTGCGACCCCACTCGGTCACCGCATTTTTCTGCGGCTGTTCGCCGTCTCCCCCACTGCGCGCCGCAGGCCCTCCGTGCCCCCCCCGGGGCGCGCGGGCCCGTGGGCCTTTCGTTCTACGTCGGTTTTCCCGCGGCGGCCCTGATGGACGGGCTGGGTTGGCAGCTTTCGATACTTCTGTTCGGCTCTCGCGACAGGAGCTATCGTGCCCTTCCTGGCCATGTTCCTCGTTGGCGGTCGGGATATGGGGACGCAGGGCCACGGGCGCGTTTATTCCACGCTCGTCCAATTTGCGGTTCGCGCCGCCGGGCTCGCGGCATCTGGTTGACGCCAACTTGCAGGCCGCATGCGGTTACATGTTGCTGGGCACGTACTTCGTGGACGACGGGTTCCTGGCACGCCTGGGCTTTCCGTCGCCTCTAAGCTGCGCTGCGTTAGTCGCCTGGCCTCTTCTCACCCGGTCGTCGTCCGCGCTCTTTCCCCCCTGCTCTATCCTCTCTCACGCTTGCCAGCTGTGGTTTAGGCTCTCGCCGTGCACGTAGGCACGTAGGCCTTGCTTCATTTGACTGTCGACGCCGCGCGGCTCTCCGCTAGCGGTCGGTAAACAAAAAGTACCCCCACCAGCCCATTTCGGCGCGACGCCCGGGCTGCCATGCACGGGCAAGCGAAGCGTCAT